TGTGTGATGTGATGCGCTATTCGGGGGTACGTGGTCCCGAGTAACAACAACACATACTTTATTACCAAAATAGAAAAACTCTTAGTTACAAAAAAAGATAATTGGAACAGAAAATAAGGTAAATTCACCCAGAATAACATAAAAGCTAATCGAGCTGAGTGAAATTAAATAGTGTTTATATAAAGAGGTTTGTTGGCAGTAAAGCTAATAAGGGGATAAAAAGTTGCCTTCCAGTAGGGTATGTTGCTTGATAACAACGACAATGTATGTTTATTTGCGTCACAATGCATAGACAGTGTCAGTAAGCATCAGACCTGGATCACTATTAGTTACTTAGTTCTCTTGTTAGTTAGAGAGTTTTTTAAGCCGCAGGGAAATTCTCGCTCTCCAACAGCCCTATCTTGTACCGCGCCCCTAGATTCGGCTCAGGTGTTCCCCGTACACCATACTTTTGGGACTTACAAAATAGATCCATGCGTTTGGAATTCCATTGCCTCCACAGATATGTCCACAGTCGTCATATCCCCTCGCCCAACGGCACCGTACCTCATCGTTGTCGTCGTCAGTCACTATCAAGATATGAAATATATGTTTTGATTATATACCAGGGGCGCATCCAATGACGGTTTCCTCTAATACCCTTTAAAACGCTGTTTTAGGCTATCTGGAGTGTTTAGCGCGGCAAGAAAATTGTTATATGTTTAGTCATTCTAGAGAAACTTGAGTCTCCTCGAACTGATTAGGGCTTTTTCGTCCATTTCCCGAAATCCAAAGGTCTCTTTCCTTTCCGAAAATCGTACCTACTTACTAATTCCTCAGTCTCCGTCTCCTGTGGGACATAAGGCAACTTTCGAAAATCATGGCTGATTTTCGTTGCGGTTCCCACGCAAAACGACAAGTAGGCATTAAATTTCACATATCACGAAAGTTCGAGGAGACAATTGGAGGGGATTCAGTAAACGCCTTCCAAACAGATTATTTACCGAAACGATCAGGATGCCCCTGGTATAAGCACAAGACAGCGAAGAAGACAGACAGATAGAGCGAGTTTATACGAGGTTGCTCAGGCGCAGCCAAACGGGAAAAACACAGGCGTTAAAGAATCATACCTGGGATAAAAATGGTGTGGTTACAGCCAAATTTCAAACGTACTATCGGCGTCATTGTCGTTACGGGGGACGTATTCATAAGTCCGGTGTCATTTCGTACGGTGAGGTTTACGTACATGCGCAGTTGCCATTGAGCTGCTGACTCATGTACCAAGGCAATCCAATTAGAGCCCTGGTAGCTGTGGATCAAGAATGTTGTATATGGTCCCTCAGAAGAAACAACATAAGTAAAAGCAAGAGATTATCAAGGTAAGAGAGTGAATCCCCTATATAGGTCCTCTAACTGAAGTAATCCCTCTTAAGTTATTTTTTCACATGGCACCCAGTTCTTCCGAGGATGCTACTCGTGCGATGCGTAGAGAGCCGAAGCGACTTCCTCGAAACTACCTGAGACGAAATGGCGGGAACGCCATTTTATATATTTTGATTTCGTTTCATAGCAGAGATGTACGCTTTCGTTTGTTTTGTGCTCGTTTGGCTGTTTATTCGGTTTTAGGGAGTTAAATTAAGCAAACTTCAACGGCAACGGCGACGAGTACAATGGCTGTGGAAGCGTGCGTCATAATTCTTTGTTCCTTTCTTTGCCGTTGTTTACAAAAGGTCACAAACAACAACGTGAAATAGCCACATACTGCATATTCGAGAGAACGTGAACTATACGACGGACAATTTTTAAAATTTCTTTTTCGAATTTTGACGCTGTCTTACATATTCTGTTTGGGATATTTCGGACAGCATAGACAAACTGAATGAATCTAAATTCTCGCGAGATTCGTAGGTTGAATATTAAGTGGTTTTTTTAATCGATGTTGCCTTTGGCGTTGTTGCCGTTACTGCTTAAACTGCTTTTGCTACTTGGGCTGCGGGCGTCTGCCTGCACTTTCAACCATCTGTTTGGTCGGTTGCCAAGCTTGTGTTTAGGCGTTTGTTTGCTTTGCACTCGTTTGTCTACTCATTTCTCTGCCGTTCATTCAGTTGTTATTGTTTGTGTAAGGGCCGTCTCTTAATTAAACTCCTATTAAAGTTTCGAAATGTATTAAAACATACCGAGAGCCGAAGCTCCTTTTTTGGCTTGTAATCAAAATATCAAAGAAGACATCCCCACAGCTTTGGAGGTTTTCCTTTTAGTTTGAAACGAAACGAAACGAAACGAAACATAAACCTCCACCAAAACATCCACGCAACGCGCGAGTAATATCCGCGGAAGAACTGTGTACAATGTCTAAAAATAATTTAAGAGGGATTACGTTAGTAAGAGGACTTATATGGGGGATTAACTCTCTTACCTTGACAATCTCTTGGTAAAAGTAACTCTTGAAGGTAACCCAAGAGGTCATTTTTTTAGTGCAGAGTGCGCTGTGGAGAGGGTTTAGTGGGCTGCTGTCCGCCACACGCTAAACCGCTACTCCGCTAACATACTAACGTGTTGATTTAAAAGTTTGTTTAATTACTTCTAGTCTTAAAGCGAGGAAGGGGAGGGGCGGGGCAGGTACCCTGGTGGTCTACGTGAAACGTGTTGTACCTTCGTTACTTCTTTCAGATAACCCCTTGCTTTCCCTGTGGTACTATTCTTTCTAGAACAAGGTGAGGGAACAAGGCAATTTGCTCTTAAGGTGGCTCCCTATAGTTTTACGATCGCGCGAGGACTGAGGAAGTAATCTGCGCGCGCTCAAAGGAAAACGTCAGTGTTTTTCGATATTTTATTACGACAACACGAGCACAAAAAGCAAAACTGACAGTGAATTTTCTCGCGTTTCCTTCGGTGAAATTCCGTAAAATTTGACGGATTGGTAGCAAATATTTTACTTTAGTCGGAGCCCGTTTTTTAGGGAAATCTATAGGACTAGATTTTTTTGGAGCGGTAAAAGACATAAATTTGAAAATATCGAAAAAACTGCCTTTAAAAACTCTACTTTTTTCGTGTTTAAAATTCGTATCCCGCTGGAAGCGATGTGCTGTAAAAATTTTGGAAGATTTCACCGAAGGAAATTCATGAAAATCACAAATAAAGCCATAAAAACAGCAAAAAACAAATTTGTTTGGGCATTTATAATTTAAGACTAAATCCCAAAATTTTAACAGAGATGATAGCAAAACACTATTTAATCATTGCTTATTACATGTAATAAGTTTGAGAGGACTAGGTGTGAAAGCGAATGCAAAAACAGCATTCAAAACGTAACACTTGCGCGCGCAACGCCATAAATGATTACCCTATGGAGCCACCTTAACGCATGCACAGATTGGTTTTCGTTAGTGTTAAATTTATAAACCAGGTGAAAGATACATTACACAAGGCAAAACAACAAAGTTAGATACTTTTCCTTGCGGTAGAACAAAAAATTTATGATGCATGCGTTCTAGCATCATTAGCGTGATACACTCCACGTTTAGGGTAGGAGACAATTTTTTTTTTCCCGAGCCTCTTCCTTCCTTCGTTGATCGTCCGATTTTTAATAAAATGTAACGTGAAACTGGTTGGCCGTTGTGGGAACTTATGGTGCTGGCTAGACACAAGTGATCAATTAACACTACTGTTGTCATCAATGTCGTGCGCATATTTGAACCGACGACGCAGTCGGCGACTGGTTCAAGGTAAAATTGAATCTATGAAAAGCCTACTCGCAAACTATGAGCACAAGAGCCAGCATCAGAGTCGAGTTCTCCGTCGTCTATCCACGCTGATCTGCTTCCGGGCTCCACGGCTATGATGTCGGCCTTTGTTAGTAGTTTATTTTTTGGTATGATGGGGCGGAACCATTTTTTTTTTTTCACTAATCAATAATCGTCTTCTACACGAATGCTACACGAAGAAATAGGTGATGGCCTTATTATCAAATCAGATTGATATAACTTAAATGCTCTTCCCCTTTCTTTACGTTGATTATTATTATCGATTATTATTTCTAAGTGGGATGCATCTATGCATTACCTATGCCATGAAAGTGAAGCTACTTTTTGTTTCAGTCATAATTTATAAAGATCACTTCTGACTGACCTGACTTGATAGTAGCGAGGTGATATGCTAGGAATTGGAAAGGTATAATGAAAACTGTTGGTACCAATTGTCCAGTCTTCACTTGTACTAAAATCCGTGCATCTGAACTTCAAGCTCCCGACGTTTCCGTAGCAACGGTCCTGGCACTCTAAGTAGTCATTTATGCCAGTCAGTTGTCCAGAGCTTATAGTGCTTTGGTCACAGAACGTGCTGTAGCTGTACGATCTTCGCCAACCTATCCGGAATGTTATGATCACCTGAAAACGTAAAGAAGTTAATCTTCGAAATTTACGTCAAGTTGACAAAATCTTCGGAAAGTAGTCTGAAATCTATGGTTTTCTGTACAATTATACCACGCAAGCACAAGCACTCAAGGTTCCAGCCAGTTAGGCCGCTCAACGCCCCTTTTCTCCATTTATAGTTCAGGGCGGAAAAACCCGTTGTTCTTGATAAAGTTCTCTTTTTATAAATCCTCGGAATGTATAGATTTTAAAACTGATTTCTCGGAAGAAAAGGTTTAAGTAGATTTACTCGGGGTTCTCAGCTGTTGTCAAAAACATATGATTTTGATCGGAGTTTACAAAGCCTCTAAGAAAGTTTTTCGCATGCTACGACTGAAATGCTCGAACACTATGGTCAGTTGTGGCTGTATAAGCAATCTTAGCCGCGGGCACCATAATTAATACTTAGGAAGAAGGGTCGAGTTGACAAATTACATGCTGCATTTTATAATAATGTAAAAAATAGCGGTAGTAATGTTAATATCTAGATTTAACCAAACCTAAAAGCGGAGTTCCTGATGACACTAAGTTAACCTGGCTTGAGCCTGCGATCCAATGAAAAGCCAGTACATGGGCAGCGGTTAACCTTAAAAACAACACCTGACCTCTATTAAATCTAAACTTGAGCCCGTCATATGATCACGTGATACTGGTCAGCGAAGATCGTCTTTTGACAGGGGTCAGTTGACTTTAACATGGATGTCCAATATCAAAGTGTACGCTGCAAACCAAGGCTGCATGTCTCTCTCAAACTATTAGCCGGAGTAGGGCCATTTTGCCTTCACTATATTTATACAGCCGAACACAGTCGAAGGTTACGAGGCGTGGGTGCATTTGGTCAGCCAAGCCGAGATATGTTTTAATTGACACATCAAATAAGTTTTGTTTACAATAACTGCAGAAATTATCGCACGTTCATTGACTAATTTTCATTGACAATAAGCGGACAGACACATGAATTTATAATTTATGCAATGCTGAAGCAACGAGCAAGAGCGGAAAATTTGACAATTTTTCATTGTAAAAGACAATTAACGTCAGTTTTTCATACGTCTGTCCTGTTATTAACAATGAATTTCGTTATAAGACTGTCAAAATTTGAAGACATGATAGATCATCGCAGTTATACACACAACTTAAGCAGTTGTGAAATTAAAGCCTGAAAAAAAAATTCGGGCCTGAGCGTTCAGGCGCTCAGGCCTGAATTTTTTTCAGGCTTTAATTTCACAACTACTTAAGTTGTGTGTATAACTGCGATGATCTATCATGTCTTCATATCGTTCTCCGCAGTTTAAATATATGATCTTTCATATATTCATTTGCACTGTCAAAATTGTCTGCGGATCGACTCGATTAATCGAGATAATCGATAATAATCATTTAATTATAATCAATTATATTGATAAATCGATTGCCTTCCAATGATCAATTTTCTTCGATTGGGCACGCTAGGACTCAGGTGACTAGGTTTCAGATTATACTGATATTATACAAGTAAATTTAGTATTCCGCAGGGGTAAATTATATTTGATACTTGCTGCATCAAGCAAGTGTAGCTCAATACTAATCATCTACTCTACATTTAGACTAAGCATTTCACCGAACCCAATGAATTGAACAACAATAAAAAAAACTTGGGAATCTGTATAAACACGATACACTCCTTCTTTTTTTAAAGAATATGTTTTATAACAATATCGAGACTGAGATTTGCGAAATTTTAAGAATATTTCAGATTAAACGGCCGAGGCTGAGATTTTGAAAAGAATATAATTTTGTTTGTTAAAAATTTGTGAATACAAAACAGTGATATGTTTTTAATTAAACCGTAGAAAATTCTTCTTTTCTCTATATGGCATAACTGCCAAAAAGCAACAAAAACAGCATTAGCCGTATGGTCGATGCTAATAACATTTCTGCAAGAAGTTATCTGCGTCATATTAGGCTTTGATGCCTGCAGGCTGACTCCAAAATTCCAGACACCGAATATATTCGAAAACAGATACATGTATGTCATACGCTATAGTCTAAGAATACTCACAAGAATATTTACAGCCTAAAATAAGAGAGAAAAATAAGAATATTTAGCCTCGGTAGGAAAAACAACATTCTTGCCAAAAAAAGGGTGTATGTATATCACTACATCTGCGTATCAAACAGCAAATACCGTCAATATCTCGGAGCTTAACTGCTACAAGTGAGAAGGAAATCACTGGAAAGGTAAAGATGTAGAAATAAGTGAATTAGTTAGCAGTTTTTTTTGGTTTTTTTTCATCTCTGGATCTCTGGTACAAACATAAACAAGTCGTTACAAAATTTAAGTGGGGAATTTGTTGCAGAACACTGTTTACTTAATACTTCCTTTACCCTCTAATAATAATTCTTTAGTTAGCTCTTAGTCCCTATGGAATAAAGCACAGCAATCTCTCTTCATTTAGCCCTAGTTTGTGCAGCATGTTTTGCCTTGTGCCACGTGAGTTTTCACTCTCTGAGCTCGGCACTGTTTACACATGTCACGTAAACTTGTACATATAGTGTCAAGATGGTTTGCTGCAGTAATGACTTAGCCTGTTAGATAACAACGTCAACAACTGAGTCCAACATACACCTTTTCGATGGTGCTGAAGTGTATTGAAGTTCTAATAAGTTTTTGCCATGACTGTAAAAAAAAAAAAAATAGCGAGATGCTAAATACCCATTACAAATTTGCATACACGATGTGGTTTCTTTTGTTGATTGCCTAGCCTGCGTAGCAAGCGTTCCCATACAAAGAGCTTTCCCATTCTAGGTCGCCCGTAAATTGGAGCGAGAGGAAAAATTCGACGAAGCAGGGGGTGGTGGGGCTAACTTTTTGAGAGAGGGAACGCTTGCCCGCAAAACGCCCACTGGTTTTCATGGTTGAGTTCATTTATTGATTGACAACTTTGTCACCGAGCTAAAATCGTAATAGTGCTACATGTATCTACATAGTATACTCGTTTGGAGGGCAATAAGTCAAATGCTCGGCTTAATACCAGCTTTTTCTGTGGTTTAATTATAACCGTTCATTAGCTAGACGGTCATTTCATTCTCCTGCTGCTAAAAAACATTTAACCGTTGAATTACAGAACTACCCGGAAATCGGAAACCTTTGTTTGAAAATTGTCAGCGCGAGTAAATTCGCTTTCGCAGGGAAAGCAACGACCAGTCGCCGGCTTCTAATATTCGGTCTCACGTTATCTGGACATGAAAAATGACTCAAAAAGCTAAGCGAGGTCGCCAAATAACAGTATCAAAGATTGCTTCTCCTAAACTTCTTCCCTGGTTCCTGTTTGATCTTCGCGCACGATCGATAATTACAACAGCAGCGGAAAGATATTAAAACCTTCCACTGAATCCAGCGGGGAACGGAGCCACCAAGTATTTGCCCTCTAAAAATAGTGCCTTCAGGGTAAAATCAAATACACACCATCCACGTCAAGTCTGAAAAATCTTCGGTGAGGCTAGCACGATTTCACAAACCTTCCTCCACGACATTCCTTGCATACGGCTGGCGCACGGGAAATTTGAATAGACCAATCAGGATTCAGCAGGCGGGAAAGACTTTACTGTCCTGACGTCAATATAAGTTAACAGGAAAGGCATTAGAATCAGGTAACTTTTCTCACTGGAGATGACATCAACTATTCCCAAAATGGGATTTACAATTCCAAAAACCATATCAGATTGTGAAAAGTCTCCCAGCTTCTAATTTGGCGCCAAGAATGGATCGCCGGCGTCCGGCATGGCAACTCGCTGGTAGTTCGAGTGTCGCCAGGTAGGATAATAGTTGTGTTATTTTGAGCAAAATATGCTATTCCTCGTCAAATTAAACCCGGAATTCTCAAGTTAGTTATTACAAGAGGCCAAAGCAACTTTAGCATTGTCTTTATTTTCGTTAGCTGGGAAGAAAATTGCTATTATCGTGTCGTTTCGGTAGGACAGCTCAGTTTTGACTGCCGCTCGTTCTGCGGGCGCAGCCGCCGTATGCAAGGTTGTGCAAGTCACGTTCGAGTTATTCCTGAAATCACTCAAGCGAACTTGATACACTTGTCAAACAAGATGACCACGCCGCACCAATCAGGAGCCTCGTTCGTGGGCGAACGGGTTTTTAAAAATCGAGAGGTTTGCGGGCAAACGTTCCCTCTCCGCCCCATCACCCCCTGCTTCATAGAATCTTTGCTCTCACTCCAATTTACGCGCGGCCAGAATGCGGAAAAGCTCTTCGCACGGGAACGCTTGCTTCGCAAGCTATTGATTGCCCAGCATTAAGATGGTGCCAGGTAAGGTAAAATGTTACTGTAAGTGCAGTAAAAAGAAAACAATATTTTATCTTGAGTCCTTTGCAAACATTAAGACATCGAGAGCTCTGCAAGGCGTCGCACTAGTTTGCTGAAGAGATAGGTAGACCACAATGAAAACAAATCGTTTGGGATAAATGGCCGCAAATGTGACAAGTTTAATTGAAACTAAGTTTGCAAACAAAGATTTAAATCTCTTCAGGAAAGGTGGGGTTAAAACTTTCGCCACCAGTAAAAAATAAAATAAAATACTACATAAGATATATTGACAGTCTGCGGGTCGGTGACAGGGGAGGTGGAGGGAAAAAGAACAAACACGTCTTAACGATAAAAAGTAGAAAAGTTCTTCTGGCGATGATGACAATAGTAGAAGGGGGCCGTGTGTACGAGATAACCAACCTTTTGTACTTAACTGGGATACGCGCCTATTTTTCATTGGCCAGGAGACTTCCATTGTTGCCAGATTACAACACAACCCGCCAACTGGTAAGACAGAAAATGCATTGCGATAAAATAACATTTTGCTTTCGGTTTTCGGCATAATGTTTGTTTTGATGATATACTTTGTATGCTTATTATTATTGACTGTTGTAAGGTTACCACTGCGCACTGTGCAATGTAGTAGACTAGTAGTAATCAGTGATTAGAAAATACGTT